CTCTCTCTCTCTCTCTCTCTTCCTTTATAGTCACGGAAATCGCCAACAGCAAAAGACCAAAGTGCATCCGTTCGAGAACAAGAGATTTCTTCCTGTCAGATCATATACGTGGAGATGAAGAGACGAGGTTTTTATCCTATAAGATACTCCCGAGACTTTCCGTATAGTTCGATCGTACATTTGTACATTGATGTTCGTTTTCAAGAGTCTTTTGTAAGTGATTCGCTCCGGAGCCTCTTCAATAACAGAAGATCGTCTTCAATAACGAGGAAAATGATCTTTGGATGAAGACAGAGATTCTCAATGACGGAAGATTACGAGGACGTTGCAGTGGATGCTGCAGATACCGGACTGGTCGGATAAGAGCTACTTCGTCCTGTCGAATCATTCAAGCAGATTAAGTCGAGATTACGTTTCTACCGAAGGTACCGCTGGGATACTCCGCGAGATGAGATTCGATTATGGCACACCCGCGTCACTCACGGAACATTCAATAATTCCCGGCACAAAGCATGCTTCTACGTGAAGAAGAATAAGTGCGACGTAATGAACGTGCACGCGTGTATGCGCGCCTTTCGTGATATATCTTGCCAATCTCGAAAGGAATCGCGTGTATGTCATGGAGACATGCAGATGTCAGCTGAACGTTTAGCAGTTTCGTGCAAGTTTCCAATGGCCAAAAAGGCACGAGTGCGCAAAACTGACCGTGATATTCAACGTTGATATTTTTTAATGGCAATCGGAATTCTGTTTTCCCGCGCAATTTTCTTTGGTACACTGCTACTTAAGGTGCATTCGAATTAATCGCGCACAATTTCAATTCGTAACACCATGCAACATTCACACATTTTATCCCACTGCAGATATAATAATTCATCCGCACCGCGGCGGGCGGATACCACCTGCGATCTGCGATCTATCCAATCGATCGATCGCCGATCTTTCGCGCGCGACGATGATCGGCTGCACGCATGTCTGCGATCACGCGGAATCACGAAAATCGCGATAGCATCCCCGGCGATCGTAGATCGTGACGGAAAACGCTCGTTCGAACACGGCACGCACGGCGCGACGTCGTCGCCGTTAGATCCCGGATCTCGGAGCCACTCGCGGAGCCGCGCGCGGAATACGATAAACCGAGCGCACACACGGCGCAGGTAAGAGCGGTTTTCGAACAACTACGTGCCGGTCGGAAGGCGGCGCGGCGTTTCTTTCTCCCCTGCATCGTGCATCGGCTCGCCGCCGCAGAGAGAGGGAAATGGCGAAACCATGGTAGGAGGTGGAGGTGCTGCTGCAAAATACGCGGGGGAAGGGATATGAGCGAGGATCTATGATATCCCCGTGGATCGAGATCGGCGCAATGACTATATCGCGGGAAAGGTCTCGAGACGAGAACCACCCTCGGGTGTTTTTATCGGTTTTCCATCAACGTTGCCATCGGCTTCTTACGTGGAATTCTGCCATCTCACTTTAACGGAAATCTGTAAAACTCGATCACTTTAATCATATTTTAATGTTTTCAATAATTATCTCTGTTTATTGAGCACAAAATATACAGTATGAAAGTTCTGAATGGGACATTTGTTTGCTAAAATTGCAACATGGTTTGGAGAGATCTTCCCATATGTGATATAAAAATCTCTATAATAATCTATAATATTATACTCATAAATATTTTTTATACGTTTAGTTCTTTTAATTCAATGAGTTGTCATACGCTAACATAAGTAAAACATTAAAAAGCACGATTGTATTATCCGATCCAAATAATTGGTTTTTCCAATAAAAAGATGTCGGAATTATACATATAAAATACAAATGTTTTTGGAAAAAAAACCATTCAGACAGCATTCACTGAAGTAATTTTACGCGTAGTGAATCAACTAACCCCTGACTGTCAGTTGGTTCCTGTCTAAAGCAACAGGTGCTCGTCAACCACTGCCATGTGGTGGCCGCACGAACATAAGGGAGCGTGCACTTTTCTTGCATTTCAAGTCACAATATTTTTCTCTGGATCGCAAAAAAAATGTCATTTATCTTTTAAATTTTCTCCCTAATGAGAGACATTCCCCCATATGTGTGTCTTGACATAAAGAGGTGGTAAATAAATTCCCCGTCGATTCCTTATCAATCCTTTAATTGCAGTTCATATATTATTTTGCTGGGATTTACATTAATGGGGCTATAACACCTAATGCGCGTAAGTCTACAAATGGTAATCTTAAATATGCACTCAATATAATATATTTTGCCACTTATATAGTGATCGGTAAACTTTTCTCTCCGCCTCTCTACATGTACGGTAGATAGATTATATAAAACATCGTGTCGTACAAAATAGTATAGCAATAGTATATCACCTATCAATTTCGTTTCAACGGATGATCCGCTACGTACAGTACCGATTGCAATCAGTGTTCGTCGCGAAATACTTGCGCTCCACTCTTCGTCGAACGCGCGAGAATTCTGCGAAACGTATTCCCATAACTAGAAGAATTAACGAGCTTCATGGTCCTTTGTATCCCGAAAAGCGCCTGGCGCTCTTCGCTTCCTAACAAATATATACCAAAAGGATAATTCACAAATTCGATGTACTCCTCCTCATCGCTACTGAAAAAAATATCGTAATTTGTTAATAAAAAAATAAAATTCAAAAGTTGAAGATACTCAATTCTACGTACAAAATTATAACATAAGCGTAAAATGATATATAACCATCTCTTCTAATATTAAAAACAAGCAAGTCTAAGGGCCAGATATCTCTGTTAAAAATATTTTCAAATTATAGAAAAACGCAAGATATTTAAAGAATATGAAAGAATCTGAAAAAAATAACTTGAAGATTAGTGTGCTTCTTGAAAATGCAATAATCTTCTTTTAATAGCACCTTTTAAACGTGTCGTCTTTTCGCACTATATCGACAGAGAATAACTTATTTTTAACATATGATGAATTCTCTTCTTTGCCATGCTTCTTCTTTGTTATTTCGCAAAATAGAAATGTGTATACGTGTATACCTTGAAGAAATTTTGTCCCGAAGTATTAGTTTTTGTACCATTGTAAATCGTTAAGCGTGGGAAGTAGATCTCGATGTGCGGGATAGGATCACAACCAACGAACAAAACTGAAAAGACGGGAGACATTGTACTATGATTCAAGTTTTATTAAACAAATTAAATACAAAAGATTTTCTGTTGCTTGTTGTCCGCGTTATATAGACGAATATATCTCGGGGTTATAAATAATTAAAACAACAGAACGAGGCATGGTATAAATAAAATAAAGAGACGGTGAGCGGAAGAAAATGCAGTCCGTCTTAACTTCCATTTCCCGACCAGTAAACATTCTCGCGTGTTCGTATCATATTGGTTCTTGTAAAAAAATCATTTTAAAAAAAGAGCAGGAATTAAAGCGTCCAGGCTTCTTTAATCTGAAAACTAAATTTATGACGCCATCACAAGGTTTATATGGTTTATATGTTTTTACTGGAATATGAAATTGAAATTTCCACCGAGAATTCTGCATTCAAAGTTATATTGCAAATAGTATATATTTCATATACTTTTGTATAAAAATTTCCTGTTTCTTGCAAAAATTTTTTGCGTTTAAAAAAATGATTAGAAACATGTCAGTATCTCAATAAGCAAAAAAGGATACATTTTCGATATCCAGAATTCTCAGATAAAAATTCATCGATTCTTCTCAAAAGTATTTACAAATACACGCGGAATGACATATAGTGCCTGATACGCCTAAAATGCAAAAGATAACGAAAGAAAGAGCAAAGATAGATTTGTCGCATCAGACTTGCAGAAAAGAAAATGATAGTTTTTGACGCTGTCTTATGAAGAACCTTAATTACTGGTAAATACGCTTAAAATTTTTCTTCGAGAATGTTGAATATTAATATTTAAAAGTCGTTAGGATATGTACAAAGAGATATAATATATGAATATGGAGTGTGTGTGTGTGTGTGTGTGTGATTGTGTGTGTAAATATATTGAATTCCTATCCCAAAAGACCGAGCTGGACACTCCCTCTCGATCTTTTGGGATCACTCGACACTACGTCAAAGAGTAACACAGTCTTTGTGGATTTCAAGACAAGTCTTTTAATAAAAGGGAGAAAACAATTAAAAACAGGAAAATATTAATAATGATAACATTTAACAATTCGTTAAACGAGAGCTTCATGCTTCTTTTCTTTCTTTTTTGGGATAATCAGAAAAGGGAAGCATCTATCGATGAGTGTAAACACGGACGAAGTTTGGAATGTAATTAATGGTAGAGATCCAAGCATCCGAAAAAAAGCACTGTGTTGACTCTCGATACTTTCTCTTCTTGTCTTCCTTTCTCACATACACATTCACACTTTTTCGCATTCTCCCTTATATCCTCTCGCGCGTTTTTTCGATTTCCGTAATACTTGGCAATCGCAAAAACGGTGCCTGGGTAATTAGGCCCTCTTTGCTAATGCGTCGATACATATCGTGCACGTGAATTAATTTCTTTATAATACTTGTAAAAGACTCGAGTCTCATGTAAGTAGACAAGAGTGTGTCTGTCCTGTGTGTATGTGTGTGACTTTGTGCTGCGCGCGCGCGCGCGCGTGTATGCGAATGTGTGTGCGTGTGCGTGCATGTGTACGTACACACATTTGTATCTGTGTATGTGTTACCGTCAAAACCCATAATCCGTTAAAACCCGAATTCACTAGTTAAAACTAGAATGGTTGATTAGACGTAAAATCGAAACAGTACAATTATAGATCTCATTTCAATTAAATTTAAAATTAGATTTAACTAGTGAAATCGAATTTTAACAATTATGGGTTTTGACGGTAACATATATATATAATATACATGGATAAATCTACTATAATAAAGCCAACCATTTCTCTCGTACCGACATTGTAAAGTAACGAAAAATTTTATTACTTCTTTTCTGTCTATGTCCTCGAATTCTACAAGATACGATCTGAAAAAGTTTTTTTCATACATTGCAGATTATTATACCCATAGAACTAAACAAATAATTCCGACTATTTTTACTATTCATAAAATAACAAAAAATATATAAATCCGATAATAACATCGATGATAAAGTATCGAACTATAGGTTGAAATTAGAAAAATAATTTATTTGTAAATTAAAATTCGTTATGCGTTCTGTAAAAATAAATGGAGCGAAGTATAGTTTCGTGACGTGTAAACGAGTACGATAAAAAGATATTACGCTGCTGTGAAAAACAATTATCTCGTAGACTTCGAGAAATCCTTTTTCTTTTGTACTTGATTACGTCGTCATTAAAATTCAGCGAAAGCGTAAAAGTACATCAACTTTCCTTATAAAATTTGAATTGTCTGTACCAGAGCCAGATTGGCAATAGAAATCTTTTAAAAGGAAGGCGTTTAAAATGGAATAAATCGTTTCGAATAACGCGTAAACGAAATCTAAAACGATTATGAGACGTTTCCATTTTTTTTTACTGATAAAAAGACGAATCCTTTTAGTTCTTAAACATATAATGCTGGTGAAACTATTGTGTTAAACACAAGAGCTAACCGCACTATTCTAAACAATGAATCTTTGTCTCATCTCTCGTAGTTCCTTTGCTCCTTTTCCCTAAATACTATAATACTACGCTATTTACACCAACTTACCTATTATGGGACACTAAAGATTAACCTACCAAGTATATATTACAGGACACGCCGTCATATTCGTACTTTCTCTGGCGACACGCAGTATATATAACATCTTTGGACTTGGTTTTATTACACATTTATATAGAATATTATGATCATTTTCTCTTCATCTCTCATCTATTTCGCTTCTCGCCATCCCGTGAAATTCCACGAGCACTCAAGAAACGTCTCTTCAGTCTAATAAAAGAAAAGTATTCTCCAACCATCTCTCTCTTTCTCTCTCTCTCTCTCTCATTCTCTCTCTCGCTTACCAACATTTGCCAGTAATTTGTCGCTTTCCACGGTACAAATATTTTAACGCTTGAGATTCTCGGTGATTCCTTCAGGTTCGTCGCGGTGACCCTTGGAAGACAAGCGTTCTGTTTAAATAAGAATAAACGCCTTTTTTCGTAATAAAGTCTAAGTAGGTTCCACCGATACGAAAAATTATCCCACGTCTTAAAAAAAGTGTCATGACATGTTAACAGCCAAAAACCGTCGAATTAGGATGCTACCGTTACACATGCAAAACGACATTCGCCGTTTAACAAGAAAGTTCATGAGCGTCATTGATCTTCCTGTATTCTTTTTTCGCTTAACGGTTCGCGCATAGCATCATTCCGGAAACGATTTCTCCTTTGGCCGTGTAAAAGAAACAGTATGACAGAATTAACTAAACGATAATCGAGACTCGGCGAAACTCGTGGACCACTTAAACCGCCGACACTTGAGCATCTTCGTCATCTGCAACATTTCAAAATGCGTTTTAGTAAATGGCACATTAAACTGCCAAATACAAGAAGTACAAGAGACTCTAATTTGTATCAATATGATTTAGCTTGTGCAGTGTGCAGTGTCAATTTAATAGTATCGGTTCAAATAGGAGCAAAAAGATATTATAAAAATATTGTAATACAATGTTATACATACTGTATTTTAGAATACAGTTATTAATAATAGAAAGATTTCTGGTACAAATTAAAAGATTTTGCGTTAGACGCTCCATGTTCTATATGCTTTTCTTTATCTTTATGCATTAGAGTCTCTAGACTAAGACAATACCTATAATGTTTATGTGGCATTTCGTTCTAAAATGCTAATTGAATTATTTTAAAATATCATCATTTCGAGAAAAAAAAATAATCGATGCAAACAAAAATTAACAAAGAGTAAAACGTGCGACAGGAACAAGCAGCAAATCATGCCTCAGCGTCACGCAAAAAATAAAATAAATCACAAAATTTAATATAATTGTAACATTTGAATGCAAAATTCAATGATGATAGGCAAGCTTATGTATTATGCAATGATCATTAACATAAATATCGACATAATGCAAACAAATAAGATTATACATCACGAAATTATGTGACTATGCTTAATGAGTGCTATATGACGATCACATTGATTAAACACAAACTTTACAAACATGTTATACAGGCATTTTGTTCATTTTACATGTAAATATAGTATTTATTTACACTGTGTATTAATAACCATATAATATTCGTCAATTAACGCTAATATTGTCAATGTGTTTGTAAGTATGTTTAATACTGTATTTAAATTTGTTTATAATTGTGCTCATTATTATATTTAAAATTTCATTTCAATTATGTTGTACATTAAGTTTTTCTTATAAGCAGAAAAGATCATTTCAGAAAAAATAGTTTGCAAACATTTCTAAACTAGCAGTATATCAGAAGAAAAAACAGTGAAGTCTCAAAAATATTATAATATTATACCTGTTTAAATTGAGTATATAAAAATTGAAAATACATAGTACCAAGATAATAGTTCATTTTCGCACGCATGATGAAAAATGTCGAACAAGAAAAATTAATAAAAACGTTGCAAATTAATAAATCGTAAGAGTACAATTTTCACGAAAGCTATTCCACAGTAGTGAGCTGATAGAATGCTTTCGCCGACAAATCAGCACTCCTCGTCGTGCGTGAATGACAACGAGAACGAGAACGAGAACGTAAAAAGCCTCAACGAGCGTAAACCGACTAGATGTGTGTGTATAAGGATAAGTATGAACCGTGTGTGAACGGTAGAACGATTTGGCTAGATAGTAGTACCATCTTCGTGATCGGTGCCCCGATAGGTGACCCCTTCGTGGCTGTTAGCACGACCGAGTCTGTGCAACCTCGCCATCTGCTGCGCGACTTTGTATGCCGGTGGTTGACGGCATTGCGGTGTGCTACTCATGCCGGATCGCATCGACGATGTCATGTTGCCCGTCATGGCACCCATCGTCGTCATTATGGTCGCGGACCCCGCTCCGGGCGGTGGCAACGGGGCTGGCATTCCTAGGCCCATGTTTACTCCTAAGCCCGTAGTAGTACCTGAAAACCCTCGACTCTCTCGATTTCTCTTTCTCTTCGTTCCGCCTTTCCTCGCCTCCTTCTCAACCATCCTCCATCTCGTTGATAAAGCAATTCACTTGTCATTGCGAACGCAGCGTTTGTAAACGAGCGAGAATCTCAGGAGCATCAGGCTAATTTGTTCCCATTTATGTTCATTACACAGAATTCTAATTAACAGATTAGTCACATCAAGAGTTCAAATATTTAAATTATATATTAGATATTAAATGAATTATATTCTTGCTGAAATGAATCACATTAAAAAAATAAATATAAATAAATAGAGTAAAAAGTTATAATTTTATTTTATATATTTGCTTCACTCTCTACGCATTTATTTGCACTTCTTTAACGCTTTCATTGTTATTATCTCTTCTGTCAATATTCAATGTGTCCAACTATATTGATTGTAATTTCCCGGTCATATTTTTCATTCTTTAGAAATAACATAAAAAAGTTACAGTATTCGACTAATCACTGAAAGAGATAAAAGATAGTCGCGCTCGCTTACAGCCAAGACCCGTGAGAGGTACGCGAATTTAATAGAAACCACAAAAGACATTCGTCGCTACCCGCCACACAACCTGACCAACCAAGAAGAAAAAAGCACAGATATACCGTTTTACATTAGTATCCTGAAAAGAACGCTCAATTATCTATAATACTAAGGTACACGCAAATACGTAAATGGAGCAAGCTCGGTGCAACGCATTGCGTTTCTAGGTCACACTAGAAACGAACGCTAGTGCTACATTTGTCGCCAATAGTTTCGTTCGATAATTGATAGTTGCACGCACGTCACGCACCAGAGACCAAACATATCGCTTTTGCTCGAGAAAGGCAATCTTCGTTCAAGTTGCAAAAGCTCAAGCTATGTTAAGACGCTGAAGACCAACAAGAATACTACTTTCTACAATACCATTCGCAACACTTGGACATATTGTTTCGCATGCATGAGCCATACTGTTTGCATCTTCAAAATAATATAATATATTCCGCTTTGAAGCAGCAGAGACAATGAGATTAGCAATGAGTCAATGCAAGATAGTCAGATGAAACAGGCAGACAGTCGCGAACTCACCTTGAGGAGTTGGGGGTTGGTGTTGATGATGATGATGATCATGATAATGTTGGTGGTGGTGATGGTGGTGATGATGATTGTGGTTGTGATTCTGATTGGCAGGAAGCGGAGGTAACACTGCTACCGCGTGAGGAAACGGGGGTGCTCCGCCTCTTATAACAGACCCTGCACCATCCAGAGGCCACATACGACATATTTTTTTACAAAATTTACAAACTTGTGCCGTTACTGGAAACGCGAAGAGATCCTCGATCCTCGACGACGAATCGTCCTTATGCGAGGCAAATGTTTTCGTAAAGGCCGAATGATTATGACGAGTATCGCATGAAATATCGCCTGCGTGATCAAGCGAGTAGTACAACAAGCTGTAAAGCAAATCTTAGAAGCGATGGAACTTTAAGAAGCGATTGAAGCACAGTTGTTATGCTATATATAACGCAGCGCTCGACGACGCGAATATTAATACAACGTAAATATGACACGCAATGTTTAGTAATATTTAATTTTTTATGCGCTCGTATGATATTTACGTTACGGTAATCCGTTTAACTCTTGAAGATACATGGCCATGGGACATACGTTTTTCAGCGTAAAATTTAGCCAACAACACAAATGGCAAATAATTATACAAAACAAGATAATACAACCGAAATTATTTAGTATTCTCGAAAGCAACAAAGCAACATAATTAAAATCATATATCTATTTACTTAAATAATTTATAAACTCAAATCGTCGATTACGAATAATATTCAAGAATTTAAGATATTAGACATTTCGGATATATGATTTAATTCTCAATAACTATAGCATCAAACACGAATATAATATGTCTTATAGGAATCAAAATCTACGCACATCAAAAATTATATAATACACTGGTTTCGAATCTAAATAATGTTAACGGCATTATCGTTCAACACAAAAACGACCGACGCAACACAAAAATAGATAATGCAAAAACTAAAATCAATAAATGAGTAATATAAAAACGAATAATGGATGTGTAAACAACCGTAAAAATATCACACCGTATAAATGTATTCAGCTCTCGTCGGGAGCGCGCGCGCGAGCCAAGAAAAATTCGATTTCCGGTCCGGCGGCACCGAACACCGCGAAAAAAAACTACTATGTTTCTACTACTCTACTACGGTGTATCTCTACGGATCGAGCAAGAGGAACAGCACACGAGCACACTTCGCCATAATTCCGTTCTCTCGTTTCACTCTCGAGTTTTTGATTACGTACCTTGCAGAGCGGAGTGCCGTCTTTGCGGTGGCGGTGGGCTGCCGCCCGCTTCCACGCTGCTCCCGCTGTGGCTGTCCAGCTGAGTGCTATGACCACTGTCACTGCTCGTCACCGAACCTACGCACAGGTTCCCAAGACACTTCTATCACTACACACGTTCTAACCGAGGGATTACGCCCTAACGCGATCGCTAAACGATACCTATAGTCGCAACATATAGTATAGGCGCAACGCTCATTCATCTCATTCGTAATCCGTATCTTTTTGTTCTAGAACTTTTGTTCTAAAACTCTCGTCTCACAGAGAGAGAGAGCCGAGATGCAAGAACCTAATTTAAGCTGATCACTTCGCCACTCCAATTGCACGTCTCTTGCACGTTCCTATCGATATCTCTTTCTTGTCGTCTACAAGCATTTATATCCTATCATTGGCAGAGCGTAATCAACAAAGTATTATATATCTTATGTGCGCGACTGTACGCCGTGTTAAAGTTGTAACCGAGAGTACTTATTAATCCACTATACAAAAAGCTTATATTCATTTAAATATTTAATATAAATAGTTCAATTTAGAATACGGCTATGAAAATTATTTATTTTCAATAACATTTACGAATTAAAATTATTAGAATTTATTGACAATTTTCTAATTCGAGTGCATAAAAATTAAACGCTACCGATCTCATTAAAATATAATTCCGTATGTCCCATGGTATGCGAGCTCCGAATCGAAGCCGCAGTTCGTCAAGTTAGGTTCGGAGGTATTCGTGACGTCTGATCGAAAAGAAAAGCTCGCGCTATAGTAATCGGCGTACAAGATGCGTGTGTAAGTGTTGTGTATATTATGGATCAACTAAATAACATGGAACATTTATGAATTGCGTAAACGGCTGTGCAGCGTGCATAATAATGAGACTCCTTGTTGCGAGACCTGACCAGTGTATGTAACGAGCAATGAAAGTGCGTGATGGTGCTTCGCGAGATGCGTGTCTACTAAATCGTTATTTAATCGATTAACAATCTATCGGTTTATCAATACGATCTAGAAAGTTATAAACGAAAGGCTGTTGAAAAGTACCGTAAAATAAAATAATCTAGAGATCTATTTAAACGGAATAATCCGTTCAAATGTATCTTTAGGAAGAAAAAAAAAAAAAAAACAAACACTGTACTGGACAGCATCTCGCTACAAACCATTTCATAAAGAAAGAAATACTCGTACTCACCGCTTGTTAAGGTTTTTCTCAGCGGCTGAAGATTACTCAAACTAGTTACACTACTGCTCTCCGCACTGAGATCGACAGGTGGTGGTAGGCTGGCAGGAGTATCGCTGTGGGATCGTTCGTGCATCGGCACCCTGCTGCCGGATCCCACTCTTCTAGGTGCACCTGGACTAGGCTCCAAACCGCTCGAATGCAGCGCCAATCCCGGTACAGGTAGCGGAGGTGGACAGTGCTTAGGTTGATATGGTCGTGTCTTATGAGGATCAGACAGAGCCAACATCTTCCTAACTGCTTGCGGTGACGCGGCGCCGAATTTTGTACCTGAAAATCCGTAATAAATACAAATTACAAAGTAAATTCTTCCAGAAAATGTAGTACAGCGCAGCTGTAGATTTAACAACCTTGTATACTTTTCCTGCCTTCACTGGTACTACTCGCACTACTGGTAGTCGATAGAGTAGGCGATGGATGCCTTCTTCCCCGACTGCCACCCAATGGTACCGCAGCTGCAACTGCAACGGCTCCTGCATGTGGCTCGCAATCGACTGAAAGTTGATGCAACCGTTCCTCGTCGGTGATCACTTTCATGTTCGCGAGATAGGCCTTCACTCTTCGGACCATCTGTGCTTCCTCAAACATTTTCTTCGGATTTGGTGTGGCCGTGGATTTTTTTCGTCGTTTCACCGTCGCGGTTTGGCCACCTATAAATCGCAACAATGCAAATGTACAAATTAAAAAAAAAATCAGGAACAGTAAAAAAACAAAACAATATAAGAAACTCACCTTGATTGCCAGTAGTCATTTGGTTCAGAGCTACCATCGCGGAACTTGGTGGTTGCCCGCCCCTTTCTAGCATAGTTATTAAATCATAAGGTGAGGAACACATGTTTGTTAATGTTCTCACTTCCTTCGCAATCATTCTGAGTTTTTCAAAATTCACTAAACCTTCTACTCTTGAATCATTACCAAGATGTATGAAAGTCAAGTCCTTTTTCACGACTGGATAGAAAGGTATCTGAAATAATTATTTAGCTCGTTTAGTAACAATTTAAAGTCAACATAATATAAGTTTAAATTATAGAAATAAATAGTAAACGATAAAAAGTAAAATAGATATACAAAAGTAAATGTCAATGAAAGATAATTTTATTACAAAGGGATAACTCACTATCGGTGGTTGCGTTTGTTCAGACGCCACCAATTGCCGATATTTACTCATATTACGGCTGGGATCCATTAATTCTTGTAGATCGCTGAATAATCTTTGATATTTGGTTGGCAGTTTTTCCCACGAAGCTCTTAATCTCGATACTGAACCATGACCCAAACCGGATACGATCGCGAACATCGAATTGAAATTTTTGCACTCCTTGCATTGACCTACGCAGAAAAATATTGCTGACGTAAGATACGTAAGAGGTAAAATAAAACGAAATGATTCCAAATACTTACGCGCTATTTTAATAAATTGCTTTATAATCTTGCTGCGCCGTACGAGATTATGTTCAGAACAAACTTCTGTCACGACCCAGAACATTTCTCTGTTGACTAGTTCTGCAAACTGACTAAGCATGGGCACACCATACCTACTCTTCAATTCAAACAGATCATCCACATACTCCGTGGACTCGATTTGTCTGTAACAAAATATCCAAAAGTAGGCTTATTATTATAAAACATGTAATCAAGTGCAAGCTGTATACAGATGCAATTTGCAATAGGCGGATTTATACGGATTTTCATGAAATAACTAAATTACCTGAATATACTAAAGTCTTGTAGAGTCAGTTGTATTGCCACTTCTACAGCATTCAATTGCAGAAAATGTACTTGAGACTCTCGAATGAGTTCTGGAGCTTGATCGTCAGCTACTAAAGTTTCGGAAATCCCGTTGGTTTTCAAGTAGTATCGAGAGCTCAATCCGATTCGTTCTGCAAGATTCTGTAACTGATCTGGCAATCTACGCTGCTTGATCATGCCACCTTCACCGACGCTTACTTCCGCCAGAGAGAAATTCGAACTGCTTTCTGTTATGCCAAATTCTTGAAGTGCAAGCATTACCACCTATAACAAATTAATATAATAATTATATAACACATACATAACTCGTGTGTTTCTTATTATATAATTTTAACAGTATAAATTTACTTACCTCATGCGCTGTCGTTTCTTTGTGAATAAGGAGATATTTGCAGGTTTGATCAGCTTTATATACTTTGAGCACATGTTCAGGATAATCATTTGCCCTTAAATCGTCATAACAATAAAGCGACGTAAGATCTGGATTACTCTTTGAATGGTACAGATTGGTAGTAGTTTGCGTAAGTCCTGTTCCCGGTGGTGTGTGTGGCGGCGCGAGAGGATCATCCAAGTGTACACCGTCGCTATTAAAATTTAAAAAATGTATTGTGTCAACAAAGAAATACGTGTAAATGTAATTATTTATGCGACATGCACAATGCTTCAATGCACTCACTTGATCGTATTCTTTGGCAGTATGTTCATTTTCATAAGTGCTTTCTGTAATCGCCGTTTAGGTCCAAGAGTCATAAATCCCTTGTGCTCTTTTTTAGAGTCTTTGCACGGTGACACATTGTTGTCCGGGATCAATAATGGTACTCCACCAATCATGGGATTTAAGGGATTTACAGGTGTCATGGGATCCACGTGCGTTGATAGTCTGGCTCGTGGATCTGATTGCAGCCTCGGTATTTCCGGCTTATTTGTTCTACCTCGAGGTCTCGGAGAATTGTCTGGCATTTGAAGCATTTCTTTGAAAGCTGTAAAATCAAATAATTGGAGTTAAAAAAAGAACATTTTTTGTTATTACTTCTAGTTTATAAATTAAATTAAACTCACCAAGCAAATTAGATTTTACAGTTATACTGAGATGCGTAGAAGCTCTCAAAATATCAAGAGCTTTCGCGTGATTTACATGCTCGAAACTTTGGCCGTTTACTTCTAAGATCTGGTCACCTCTTTTTAAACCGACATCTTCAGCCTTAGATCTCTTGTCAACTTTTGAGATAAATATACCAAAACCTCTCTCAAATCCTCCTAAAATGCTAAAATTTAGGACTTCGTCCCTGTTTGGCCTGGCTAACGTTACGTTCCGCGTTCTCGCCTTCGCCGCACATGCAATATTTAACAATCTGAAATTCCAAGTACAAATAACAGTTATTTTCTTTAATGTGTTTTTAATATAGTTCCTTTGAAAAAATAAAATAGAAAAACAAGAATTTACCTTTGTTGTCCTAACATTTTCTCTCTTTCCAGTCCAGTTTCGAATGCTTCTAAAAATTCCATCATCGCTGGATCAGTCTCGAAATCGGTAAAATGATTATTCACCCATAAGAGCACAACGCGAGCAACGCGATCTCGCACTTGCGCTTGATCAAACCACTCCAACAATTGACTCGCAACTAACAATGGACTATCAATGAACGTTCGATGAGTCAATAAAAAATCTTCCACATAAGTAGGATCTGTAATACTGTTTTCTTCGATGAGCTGTAACATCAAACGCTCTGGAGTTCCCCGAATCACCACGTGACCCCTCCGCGCTGGACCGTCCAAAGCTCCCCGTAATTCAGTCACTAGAATTACCCTTCCATTCTCTTCGTGCCTCCTGGTATTTTCTTCGCCTTGATGTTGAATTCGAAAATAATCTGCTTGCGTGACACAAACAAATTGGCAATCGTCGCACCTGCAGATAGAAAACCGCATTTTTGCTTTCCTATAAATTTCCAGGCATCACGGCCTATACAAAAGTAGGGGAAAAAATCACATTACGAACTTTGTTCTCATAACTCCGCGATGTAACAGCCTCTCCATAGTAGGCAAGATACCAAAGCTATCTCCGAGACCGAGTTGTTCAATATCGCCATTGCTGTGCTCAATCTCAACAGCGCCGTTGATCAGCACGCTCCAACTGTCGAGTTCCTCGCCGTCATTCAAAACCACCATACCGGCACGATCGACCACCGCAAATACCATTACAGCGCACAACGCTCTTCTGACAGCCAAAGTCATGTTTGTGAAAGCTTTCAATTGTTGCGTGAACTCCAAAAGCGTCTCTATGTCGTCTTCTGTTCTCTCAACAGGATCCTTCTCTAAGCATTCTCGTACAGGATCGCGCACCGTTAAACTCTGAAACATAATAAAAATCAGAATCGCATCTAATGCATCTCTCGGGAAGCAAAATGTAACATAATACTTACATCCATGCTCTCTGCCAGATCCTCCTCTTCGTCACTATCAACAATAGACTCCACAAGACCTGACAAATCCACTTCATCAGGATCTGCGTCTAATGAACTTTGTACAGATGTCATGGTGTCGGATCCACTGTATGCTGAACTTGTGTCACTCGAATGACTACTCCTATTTGATTTCTGATACAACTCCGGCCTGCCCGTAAGGCCCTGTGAGAACTATAAAAAAAATTTATCAACTTATTTAATGTTATTTCTAAATTTCTTTAAGATTTATATATATATATAGTTTTTGCTAGATTTTATCATAATCAACAAACTATTTTTACACACATTATATTCTTACAATTAAGAAGAATTTTATATCAAACTTTATAAAATTGTTTCTGTAGATTATGCAGAAAAGAAAGCGAGGACAGCTTACATATATTACGTCAATGTCCTGCGCTTGTCTGTAAAAGATAGAGATCCTGGAGCCATATGTTTTTAGAGCTCAAGGATCTTGAAGAAAAGAGGGTGAGCAATCTCATGTGTTTCAGCCTTGATGTCTGACACTAGGCTGAAACTGCTAACATAACCAGCTCAGAAACCAGCGGAGTGTTAAAAAACTTTTAGCTCCAGGTAACGTTAGAGTTTTTTGTAGGCCCACTTTCTTTTCAATATTACTACTACTACTTGTAAAATTGTTTAATACATTTTCTCTTATATTTTTTCAATACTAAATATTACATGTTTATTACACAAAAATGTATAAATCAATATAACAATTTGTTTGATACAAGATATGACATATCCAAAGAAGTTGCCATAAGATATAAATTCTAATCTCTGTGATTGTATCATAGGAAACGTTACACAGATATATAATATTTATAATATTACATTCGAGAAATTTTTATGATTAAAATTATAAATAAAGAGAAATGATAAACAAAATTTAGAAACCATAATATTGATAAGGAGTTCATCTTTCATTTACACAAGCAATCATTTAGATAAGTTATATAAATTATAAAAATACATTGATGTATTTTTTATAATTTATATAACATAATAATAATAAAAATGTAATATATGTGATATGACTCTTCTAGATCATCAATCTAACGACTGTGTTAACAATAACAATGCGCAGTTCAAGAACTATTCAAAACGATAATACGCCGAGGAAGATCTACAAAAAAATGATTTGCAATGTTGTTCCCGGGCACTAGAGATAACCTACACCTGCATAGCTCTAGGCGCGAAACAAAAACCTCTCGACGACGATGCCGTTCGCTCGCTAGCAGCGCAAAGTAGGAAATACCAGGAATGGGCGTGATTGGGACAGGCTCTAGTTCGCGGTTAGGTTAGGTCACAGCGACATGACATCACGCACGCACGCATGTACATATGTACATACGCGGCGGACCGTGCATCAAGGCGCGGGTGTACATACTTTTTGTCCATATACATATTCGTCATCCAAACAAAACGCCCAAGACAACTGTTGTCATGTCATCGCGAGGGGCGACCGCGGAGCGTACACCTCGCGCTCTCCGAGAACCCGCTTTCGCGAGCTCGCGCGAGAGAGGGAGACGGAGAGAAAGAGAGCCAAGGCCATTTTGAGCATATCTCCGAGAGAGCAGAGGCACACTCACTTGATACACGCCGAACGCGTCCATCGCGTCAGGCGGAATTCACGATCTTCCGCTGTTGTTTGCGTCTTCCTCCTTGGCGGAGACAATCACGGAGACAGATCCGACGAATCGTCCGTGATAACGGAACGCGTCCGCATTTTCCTTACGCGCCCCTTGTCCGCCTCGTCCGATTGTTTTTCTCTCACTGGCGTGCCGCAACGCGCGCGTGGAAGCGGACGCGAACTCGCAACGCGTCTCAGCAGCGTGACCCTCTTTGTACGGCTTGGCACGAAACTCGTGATGCGTCCAACTGTCCGTCAGTCTGTCTGTTCAGTTGTCGTCGCCGTCGGCCGTCGTCGCGACCGGTCGTCAGCTTAGCGGACATAGGACTATATCTCGTCTCGCGCCCCGCCGCCACCCGCACCTCACCGCGTCCACACCGCGCCGTGTCGTGCCTTTGGCATTCTCTCGGATCAGAGCGTAGTCACGTGACTCGCCTCGTCGCGCCGCGCACCGCTGTGAGCGGTTCTTCAGGTCCGTGTCAACGGAGGGGGCATACCATGTCGACCGCCAGGCGAGAGGGGGATGCCAGGCCACCTGTAGCTTCCACGCACGATTCCTTTTTTTTTTTTTTTTTTTTTAAGAATTTGATATATGAATCTCTTAATCGTTTTGTCCATGAATATGTCCGTGAATCTAATTACAAACGCAATCGAGGTTGCAAAATTAAACCTGATTTCTTGACGATCCGATAAAACATCAAATTGACACTAGAACTTTATGTTTATAAGATACAGAAAAGATTCAGACAGAATTATATTTACTTTTCCATATATAATTATGTGGAAATTTAGTATATGAAATGATTTTTCGTAATACTTATATAAAATCTATGCTCATGTATGGTTTTAATAGAAGTTTAAAATGTGCGAAAAATAAAAATAAATCTCATTATACAGAATTATTGAATTAATTCATAAAATAAAAAGGAAACTAAAGTTAGAATCACATAAAACGAAATTAATATGGATATATTAAAAATTGTTTACCGACTGGAAATTCAATTAAATTTTGGTTCTCACATGAGGTTGCAACCATGGCTAAATGTTTAATAAAATTTCATTATCCATATTGCATGGGGATTAAATTAAATTTTGTGTTACACTGAATATACACACATATCTTTAGTTAGTATATCCAGTATCAGTATTCGTAATTTCGCAGCTCATAAACGCGGCACGGATTTGCATCTTTATAATCTCAATATTTGCAGGCAGGCTATGCTGCCGTTATATGAAGACGCATCCCACCTTGTTAACATAATATATAAAACCATTGTTATAGAGCTCATTCTCATTACAACAGTTGCGGTAAGGCAAAACAAATAGAATTTCAAACGAAAAAAAATTAAAAACGGGGTGAAAATAACATACATAATAATAATGCAAATAATTTATTAATGTCTATAATCGCGGGCATATAACTATATGCTAGGAGAAAAGGGTAATTGAGTGTAATTTGCGTACAACGGGGAAGAGAATTTAAATAATGGTAATCATCAGAGTCGTGGGAGGTTACTTGATGGGATTTGGAAACGATTTGACGATGAATGATTATGAATAATTATAAGTATTTAACACGGAAGAAAAATAAAGGTTATAATATCTTTTAGATAAAAATTCTTTCCTACGTTTGAATTTTTTAAATTTACATATGTTCATCGTAACAAACTAATGCAAAATAACTTGTTTTTTTATTAAATATCTAACGGAATTACTTGGCTATACGTTTTATACGTTTTATATATTGAAAATAAAACTGTAATTAACAAAACTCTAATTTTGAATCACGCTGATATTAAGAATAGCGTTCGAAAAAAGTGGAAACTAAAAGATACTTAATTAACTTTACTTATAATTACTATGAATTTTCAATTAACTCTTTCAGATTTAGTGATACATATGCAAAATCAGAATCTTTAAAAATATATATTTTTGAAAAATATTAAACTATTCAGTTCAATCAAAGCTTGTTTTATAGGAAATTGTCTAAATTTTAACTTAAAAATATGATAAATCAATCATAAGATTACAAATTTATTTACGTAAAAAGATCGGAAAATCCTCGGACTAGCACAAAAATTTACATCTTTTTTACTCAAAATTGTTATTTCTGGCTTCTTTGATGTCATTTTATGTAATAGCCAAATTTCAACAACGGATTTGTATTCAGCAGGCAAAAATAGATCGAAAATAACTATTCATACTTGTAAAATGTTGAACAGTGTAACCATGGAAGATTCTCTCTCTCTCGCTCTCTCTCTCTCTCTCTCACTCACTCTCTCTCTCCTTATTACAATTTTATTTTATTATATAATAATTACATTATTATATTTATAGACAGTATTTTATTTCTTTGATCCGCCGTTTTGAATGTTTATGTTTTGATCTCATCTTGTATTCAGCAATCCTCCAAACTTTTAAAAATAACAAAACAATATGTCCCATTTCTCGAAAAAAAATCAAACTTGAAAGGGTTAATAATAATAATAAAAAGATATGACAAAAATAACAGATTAAAAATACAACAACGCTTGATACGTAATGCAGCCTTCGATTTGCATACCCACGCGAATGTCAGCGGCCGACGTAACGTCATAAGAATATTGCAAAACACGCTCGAGAAGCTGATCGAAAAAGAACGCACCGATGCTCCCGCGATTAATATTCATCAGCCTTCGCGATTAGTTAATCGCCATGCGGAACAATAAGCAAACAATGACGTAAATTGACGCTGATAACGACACCTGAATTGATCTTAAGAGGCCTCTCCATAGAAAGTCACTGTTGAGCGATCGTGTGAAATGTGCTTAAGGAGTCGACGGACGGTCGATCGAGCAAAGAAGCGAGAGAGAAAGAGAGGAAAATGAAACGAGAGAGGGAGAGATGGAGAAAAAGAGAGAAAGAGATGAGATAGGTGGATAAGGACAGAGAAACGCCGCTGCTGGTCCGCTCAAAGCATCTATCCAGCAACGGATAGTAACCGCTCAAAGGCCACTGTCCGACCCGACGGATGATTTATACGACCCGTTATGTCGTTCGTGCCCGTGTATCTCACTTTTCCTTTTGTACCGCGCCACACACTACTTTCCAAATTACTTCTCCCATTCAACTTCTTGCCCGCCGGAAGGATGGCGATGCAGGTACTCTGCACACGTTTCGATACCAAACCGGCGAAATACTGATTATCAAAATTATTCGTGAACATCTCGTAGATTATTTATATATATAAATGGAGGTATCATCGTTGTATCATCGTTGTATCATATGGCATTGTCGATAAAGTTAATTGTAAAGTTAAGTGTATATTTCTCAGTCAGAAAAATTGGGACTATGCGTCGTGATAAAGGCAGAGTCAGAAAGTAAAAAAAAAACTTTCTCAAATCTTCTTATTACAAATGTTTTACGCATATTTCTTTTATAGATAATTGCTATCTTATTAATCGTATAGCTATTACTCAAATAATTTTTAACGTATGTCCTGTAACGATTATACTGGAACGAAGATAACCCAGATAGAAACAAGAAAATGGAATATTTTCGTCAAGATTTAGAAAATAGGAGCCAAGAAAATAGATGGAATAAAAGAGAAGCTATACGCAATCGTGAATGCCTGAGAAGAATGATTTATGTGAAACCAACGAGGTTTTTTTGAAGAAGAATGCCTAAGGGTTTCTTCGTTTTCGATTTTCGCAAGATCATAACAACATTTACTAGACATTATTTATTCAGACAAGTAAGAGAAAAAACATTCAAATGCAAATAATCACAGTTATATGATTGCTATAAATAAATAAAAAATAGAGAGATATTTACCGTGTCATCGAAAACCAGGTTGACTTGACGGTGGTCAGTTATGGGATGAGGATGCGGTGGTCGATGCATCCTCCCTCCGCTATGAACTTCCGGGTAGTCAATCTGCAAAAGGCAATTTATAATAAGTTAATAAGTGAACTATAAATAAATTATACAAATACAGCACGTACAATCTACTGATTTTCAGTAAGTGATTATATAGCTAAACCATAAATTAAAATTACATTAAAGAATAATTCACTTGAAGTTAATTAAACAAGTTTTAGATATCCATTTTTTTGTTCCCGACATTCGTCATAATGTCTTCATTTCTCTAATTATTCACTAAGAATTAATATTTTTGTTAAAAAGAGCTCCCTCGCAAGTTAATTAGGAAGAAGCTTTAAACCGAAATAGCGACATTTTATCAGAAAATAATAATAGATATTCTATTATTCCTTGCGAATATAACGAATATCGGTCAATCCCAGGATAATCGATACTGCGTTTATTATATCTCATATGTCAATCTTATGTTGATTATTACTTTTAATCCAGATCATAGTATACGTATACAACTGCACAGAATATATGATAAAGAATAAATCGCGATTTATACAAAGATAATAAATAAGTTCTACGCAATATGATGCACCTAATACTATCTCTTCCTACGGACACCCAGCGCTCGCTGATAATCTAATTTGCGGATGCTTATAATTGTGAATGTTGCAGAGCTTCTACGCTCACTTCATGCAACACATTATATAGACTGATATTTATCAAATTTCTAAAAAAAAGAAAACTAATAATTATATTAATTCTAATAATAGATTTTGCAAGTTTGTTATGAGAAAGCTGCTGCTAAGTATTAATTGAATATTAAAATATCCGATTATCAAAAAATTGCCACTTGAAACATTTAATTATTAGCCGCATATTATGGCAGTGTTAGCTGCTTTTTACCCTTCACGACAGTCTCTTTTTCGGCTAACAGACAACAGCATTCGTTGCTAAACAGCAACGAAAAAAAAAAGGATGAAAGAGACAATGAGACGAGTGCACTTCAGGCCGGAACTCGTAGGCCGGACTTCCGGTAGATATGCTGGTTATACGTTCCATTCACGGAACCGCTCCCTCGTGACTCGATTGTTACAACGAATGTTTAGCCAATTTCGGGACGAAAGTTCAATTTCCATAGACGATCGATCGCTCGAGCGACACGACATTCCGATTCGGTATTTTGCACGGTCGCGTACATCGTCGCGATAAAAAAAGTAGTCCGACGTGTATAGTTCGTTATATCGCATGAAAAATGATATAATACGTTACTTGCACATTTTTCCGAATGATTCAAACATATTTATTTTGTTCCACATAATCATTAAAAAAAATTGCAAACTAATCCGATATTATGTCAACATGAACGTTTTTGTACAATAACTGTAACCAAATGGCACATTTTACAATTATAATCTCCCGCCTTTCTCTTCTTGCTTAATAACTTGATTCTAAAGGCAGGCGCAATATTCGTAATCAAGTAATCAAAAGCGTAACGCAATCGTGACGCAATGTATAAACGAACGAATGCAGAATGTGCATGCGTTTGACGTAACGACTGAATTGTAAACAATTACCGCATGTTAAGTATGAATGCAAAACAATAGCGAATTATTTAAACAAAAATATTTTATGATGCGTTTAATTACACTGCATTCAGCGCGGTGAAAAATATGATCACGTTCTCATCAAATTTCATATACTCAATTCCTGTTAATTAATAAGTCCAGTACAAATACACATGTCTTTTAAATCATAAAAATATATATATAAATTAAAGATACATAAAAAATGTGTAAATAATAAATAACAAAAAATTTAAACATTAAATTAAACAATCGATGTTTTATTAAGGATAAAATCCTTACAAAAATTAAAAAAAAATATTTAAAAAAATGCATTCTTCCTACAATTAAACGAACATCGTATCCTATTTAATAACTCCGAGAAAATAAATTTTACTTATTTATACATTATTCATTTAAAATTATGTAGAGAAATGATTAACTATTTAAAAAAATTATCAATGCAACAAATAATGCACATCACCTCAAACGATTATTAAAATGAAGCGTAGGTATTGAAATATTATTTCGAAAAACGTTATTTGCTCCCAGTGTTGTCCATTTTTCGCGAACAGCTATAAACTATGGTTAAATGAAAAATACTCTCTCAATTATACGCTCTCATTCATTCCGTTTGTCATTCTCCTACATTGTGCGCTCAATCTCTGCGTGGGACCTTCGACCCGCGCGTGTAGGCGGTACATATATCCACGAATACACAACGCGTGTGCATCATACTAGATGTACCTACAATCGCGAGAAGATGTCAATGTGGTTTATCACCTCGTTTTTACGTCGATTTTGATCCGAGCGTTAATGATCTCCTTCGCAGACACATCGCTTGTATCGCTTCACACACAAGGTTATCAACTAATTGTAAGAGGAACAGATACCCTGAATCAAGATATCGGCATGTAATTGAAACTTGATATGAAATAAATGACTGTTTCCTCAACGGAAGAAGATAAAACCAGCGATTAAAATCAAAAGATAAAAGATCGTGCGCCCTATCCGCAGCGGATGTTTAGCATGAAATAAAGAAAAATTTACTCAATTTTATTTTACATATTTTTGTATGTATATGATAATGCTTTCTCTGCGATGTGTATGCATATATTTTCATTTTTATTAGATATTTTTACTTATATATTAATTGACTATTACGATTTAGATAACACATGCACCGAATTTTTGTAATTCAATAACATATTTATATAATGTATATAATATATGTGTGTATATGCGTGTGTATAATATGTTATATTACACAAATTCCGTGCAGGCTGCATAGATTATAATAATCTAAATTAAATTAAATTAAATTAAGAAAAGATCTCTATAATAAAAATGAAAAAATGAATTTATATAATAAGGTAAAAGTCAATAGACTGTGTAATAAATTTGTTTTTACAACTTAATTCTTTTTAAAATGTTTTTCATTAAATGAGATTTAAAACGAAAACGCATTTTATCAGTTGTCGACGCAATTTTCGCGAAAATATTTTTGTTCTCAAATTTCAAAGTAGATATTAAAACAAGTTATAAAAACAAACTTTCATCATATAATTTAGTCGTAATGGATTAGCTTTTCAAGACTTTAAATGAGATGAAGTCTCTTTACCTCGGACAATGCAATCGATAAAGGTCTCGGTGTACCAGGCCAGCTTCTGGACAACGAGCGTCCTTTCCGTTTTCTTACGACGACTCGAGGTCGTCCAGTCCTGCTTGTATGTTTCAACATCGCGAACACTCGGATAATTTAGTCGGAATTATAGAATGTCTGATTGCATACGATATCCATGTGGTTTTTTCACTGCCATTACTACGTAAATCGATCTACGGACGTCATATTTCAATGTGTCAACACACAGGCCAATCAACCATGTGTTACTAGATTCAATGTCTCGCGTATATACGATATTTACTTTCCAACAATTCGCTAATGTTCCCAACAATTTGCCGACACGTTTTCATGTTAATCACTCATTAGACATCAACACTTTGTAGATTTCGGGCCGCACAAAAATCGAACACTGTGCTGTAAGTGTAAACGTCAAATGATCTAGCATGAACGACTAGAATTTACGAAATCACATTGGTAACATACATATATAAACGTCTCATCTATATGCAATCGCAGCGATTCTATCATTTTATGAGCGAGACTTTGCAAACTTAATAATCTCGAGGTCGATGGAATCGACCTCCATAAAATTGTTAATGCGATTATCCTGCTCAAAGATCGTGTTTCGCATTCGATATACACGCGCTCCCATATACATCACGTCTCGTGGAGAACTGAATCGTTCACGATTCTTGAAGAGGGCCAAAGACCGACGTGCTGCGGTCACGTGATTTACGCGCTCAGGAACGTAGAAAGGCTTATCGTATGTTACAGCCAACGTATAATTTTCCTGTCGACACCGGAAATTGAAAAATCTAATATGAAATTAATGGAGAGTAAAAAATTTCATTTTAAATAACTCATAATCGTAAAGAACTTAGTTTATAAATCGGAATAGTCTAAAAATTTAAGAAGCAATTGTAATAATTAATAAATTAATTGAGAAGAATTAAATATATACAAAAATAAAATTACTTAATACATAATAAAGAAATATGATTTTTTAAAGTGTGTTTTATATTTATAAAAACTCTTGATAAATAATAAAATTAAGTATTCCTAGTTCTTCATTCATCAATTTCTTTTTGTTATAGATGTAATTAAAAAGCTAAAATTTTCTTTCAAGACGATAATATTGACTGCTCTTTCTCGAAGAAATGCTAAAAGAAAATAACATTTTTCCAATGCCTGAAAAAAGCATCGAATGTCGTACACACGTGTTCATGAAGAACTGTCACTCCGGATAATTAAAAAAAAAATATAGGACTCATGTTATTTTAAAATTCGATACAAACCACTTGTAAAACGAAGATGAAAAGGCTTTCTCTCTCAAAAGATTTTACGATCGATTTTAGACATGTTTCAAAGATTAGTCAAATTTTGAACTTGATGTGATGACCAAAAAGGTTTCAAATACATTCGCATTAAATAAGTTTAACCTACATCCATACGAAATTTTCTATCTTCGAAATTTCGTCATTTTACACGAAAGTCGCAATCACGCGTAAAAAGTTATTCTTGTGTGATATGTAAACGTATATCTTGGGCTCAATTCAGAGTCGATAAAGCGTTCGTATATATCGTTCGGTTTCATTGGACAATATTACAAAAATTATACGTGATGCCCGCGGTGTACGAGGCCGTCCACAAATTTTGAGACCGCAATTCAACGATTTTTTCGCACATTGTGCGAAAAAACGCGAAGCCAAACGTTGGATAAGATATAAATTACGGTGCATTGCAGGAGCTGAGAAAGGACGCGCTGATGAACGCGGGCGCATAAACTGTCTCCCGAGTCATGTCCTACGAGGAGTCTACATTACACGCGGGCGCGGCTACACACGGATGCGTCCGGCTAAAAATTTCCTTCTCTC